TGGCGTATTTCGAGATTAGGATTTGTCACTCCGATTGTCGGAGAGGTATCTCAGGGCCCTCTCAGTAATGCACATCACATAAGCCTTGCAAGCATTACAACTAATGAGTTAGTTGCGAGATGATGCATTACACAACGAGTAAAAAGAGACTTGCCAGTAACGAGATTGAACTAGGTATTGAGATACCGACGATCGAATCTCGGGCAAGTAACATACCGATGACAAAGGGAACAACGTATGTTGTTATGCGGTCTGACCGATAAAGATCTTCATAGAATACGTAGGAGCCAATATGAGCATCCAGGTTCCGCTATTGGTTATTGACCGGAGACGTGTCTCGGTCATGTCTACATTGTTCTCGAACCCGTAGGGTCTGCACGCTTAAGGTTTCGATGACAGTTGTATTAAGAGTTTATGAGTTTTGATGTACCGAAGTTAGTTCAGAGTCCCGGATGTGATCACGGACATGACGAGGAGTCTCGAAATGGTTGAGACATAAAGATTAATATATTGGATGACTATATTCGGACACCGGAAGTGTTCCGGGGAAGTTTCAGATAAAACCGGAGCACCGGGGGGTTACCGGAACCCCCCGGGGGGTTAATGGGCCTCATGGGCCTAAAGTGGAGAAGAGGAAGGGGCTGCCAGGGCAGGCCGCGCGCCCCCTCTCCCCCTACTCCGAATTGGACAAGGAGGGAGGGGCGGCGCCCCCCCTTTTTCCTTCTCTTCTTCCACCTCTCCTACTTGGACAAGGAAAGGGAGGGGAGTCCTACTCCCGGTAGGAGTAGGACTCCTCCTGCGCGCCTCCTACTAGGGCCAGCCGCACCCCCCTTGGGCCCTTTATATACGGAGGCAAGGGGCACCCCATGAACACACAAGTTGATCTTCGTGATCGTTTCTTAGCCGTGTGCGGTGCCCCCTTCCACCATAGTCCACCTCGATCATATTGTAGCGGTGCTTAGGCGAAGCCCTGCGACGGTAGAACATCAAGATCATCACCACGCCGTTGTGCTGACGGAACTCCTTCCCGGCGCTTTGCTGGATCGGAGCCCGGGGATCGTCATCGAGCTGAACGTGTGCTAGAACTCGAAGGTGCCGTAGTTTCGGTGCTTGATCAGTCGGGCCGTGGAGACGTATGACTACATCAACCAAACGCTTCCGTTGTCGATTTACAAGGGTACGTAGATCACACTCTCCCCCTCTCGTTGCTATGCATCACCATGATTTTGCGTGTGCGTAGGAAATTTTTTGAAATTACTACGTTCCCCAACAGCATGAGCTACTCAAGTTATCATGCTAGTTGAGCCTAAAGTTATTGTGTTCTTTACACAGAAATTACCAAGGCATAAAAATTGTTTCTTCGACCTTCTCCCCACATGCACATGCACATGCCCTAGAGTACGGAAAATGCTAATGTCAAGGAGGATTCCATGAAACTTTAAAAAACTTAAATATTTTGTAACTTAAATAGCCGCTTTGGTATAAAAACCATTTTCACATAAAAAATCATTGCGACAAGGCCTTCGAAACTAGATCTCGTGTTGGTATGTTTCGACAACTTCTTTGAGTCAAAAGGTTATCAGGCCTAGACTTACTAAGTTTATCAACTCTGTTATGTGTATATTACCATGATATTCACAAACAAAATACCGAAGGGTGTTTTTCCACCAGTCCCTACCCCTCTCGGTCAAAAGTTATCACACCTAAACTAAGTAAGTTATCAGCTTAGTTGTGCGTATATTTTCAACAACTTTTTTCATGGGTCAAAATTTGTACATCAGTTATCAGGTCCGGAGCCTGTGTTACCATGTTATTTACAGAGTATGTTTTCAATAACTTTTTTCCACGAGTCAAAAGTTATCGTGGTGTTTGTACATAAGTTATCAGGTCCGGGATCCTGTGTTACCATGTTATTTATAGAGTATGTTTCAACAAAAAATTTCCATGGGTCAAAAAGTTATCGAGGTGTTTGTACCTAAGTTATCAGGTCCGGAAAAGCATATATTATCATGCTTTTACACAGAAGTTGTCGGTGGTATGTTTTCATCAAGTTTTTTCCATGGGATCAAAATTATTGTGGTGTTTGTATCTAAGTTATCAGGTCCGGAAGCGTATATTACCATGTTATTTACACAAAAAGCTATTGGTTGTATGTTTTCAATATCTTATTCTCCGGGTCAAAATTATAGTGGTGTTTGTACCTGAGTTATCAGGTCCAAGGGCGTATATTACCATGCTATTACTTTGAAGTTATCGGTGGTATGTTTTAATTTCAACAATTTTTTTCCACGGGTCAAAATTATCGTGGTGTTTGTACCTAAATTATTAGGTCAGGGGACGTATCTTACCATGCTATTCCTTAGAAGTTATCGGTGGTATGTTTTCAACAACTTTTTCTCACGGGTCAACATTATCATGGTGTTTGCATCTAAATTATCAGGTCCGGGAGCCTATATTATCATGGTGTTTACACAAATAGTTGCCAAGGTATGATTTCAAGGATTTTTGTAACCAAATAAAGGGTAAGTCAGTCTACAATAATCATGTTTCTATAACATATACAACTTGGTAAGTACAAAAATAACCATGTTAATAACTACAACCCGGTGACTACATAATTATTATGTTGGAACTACATATAGTCTTCCCTCCTATGATGACCACTCTCTCATCAAATTACTATGAAGATTTTCTTGGATTCTACCATGATACGACGCGCCACCTTCCCTTTGCCAACATCTCTCACCTGTCCAAGTGCATCTCATGTAGAATCGAGCGAGACTGCGGGAGAAGGAGGGATCGATGGGAAGGGGTCGTTCTGTACTTAGAGGGAAGGAATAAGGTGTGTGTGATAGTTTTAGCTATGTGGCACACGTGTACCAAATATCACAGTCCTATGTAGAAATAAAGAAACAAGAAACCTTTCCTCATGGAACTTATCAAGAACAAAACAAGAGCCCTACTGTTTAGTAGCTCTTGTGATGATGTCTACCGCCCTATTATCATGCCATGCAGGTTCTATAACCATTTGTCTATATATTTTCATATTGATTTTTAGCGTGCGCACACCTTTGCGTATGTAATTCAAACTAACCCATGTAACTTACGATAAGTTATATATCCTAACGCTGCTGTACTTTATCATGCACAGGTTCAACAAAACCAATCCCCTTGGACTTGTGTGTGCGTTTTGCAAGCTGTTATAAACAATTGTTTTTTAGTGTAAAAATTGATTAACCATACCTTGCTTAAAAAACAACAATTGGATCCTCTGTTCTGAAGAACGATCACGGTCAAATTTCTGGTAAATACTTTATTGAAGCTTTTGCATGAACTACAGATCCATGGCGCACATGTATACTAAGCCTATCTTACAAGCATCGATTTATTAGCACGGTCCATCCATTGTTTCTACGTCGTTTAAATGGGATAGGATCCTTTACTACGTCTTTTGGGGCTAAAAACACTTTTGCCTATCCGCATGAAACGGGAAATACTATGTTATTTCCTCTTCTTATATTACTACTTTTCGCTTTGTTCATTGGATTTATAGGAATCTCTTTTGATAATGGACCACGCACACACACACACAAACACAAGCGAAGCAATAATCACCCGTGGCCCTTGTATTTACGTACCCCGTGCGTTTGATCGGTCAGCCATCAGCTCATCAGCAGCTCGTCTCCGTCGACCCTGGTGTAGACAAGTTCCATCCGGCCTGGGACATCTGATCTGAGGATGCACGTAAAACCATATTAAACAAGATTGACAACTCAAAACTAACCCAGTAATACCATGTACTTCCTCCGTAAACTAATATAAAAGTGTTTAAAATACTAAAACAGTGATCTAAATACTCTTATATTAGTTTACAGAGAGAGTAACAGTCAGCATTGCTGCTAACAGGATTGCCGCACGATCCTCACTCCAGCCCTCCAGATTCCTGTAAAGCGAAATTCCAACCCTCCAAGAGTTTGAGACGGGCCTGGTCCGCCGCCCAGCAAGTGGCCGGTCGGTGATCCTCACCTCCCGTAGTTAAGGCTCGCCGCCTTCCAGGTCGCGCTGCCGGCGAGACACGCAGGCAGAGCGCCGCTTTCGATGTCCTACCAACGGCTTGGATTAGCTTTTTTTTGACCGCAAACGGCTAGGATCAGCTTACTGGAACACGCCGCGAAGAATGCAAGTACGAGGAAACCCTTCGGATCGCTTGCAAAGTGTAACGCGGGCCGGGACTGACGTCTTGCGCACCAAACAAGCACACGATTATGTACTCCCTTCGGTCCTTTTTATTTCGCATATAAGATTTGATTGAAGTCAAGTCACGTAAAGTTTGACCAACTTTGTAGAAAAAAGTGCCAACATTCACAATTTGAAATCAATATCACTAAATGTGTCATGACTTAAAGTTTCATATTATATAACTTTAGCATGATAGATGTTGATATTTTTCATATAAATACGGTTAAACTTTGTGAAGTTTGACTTCAGAGAATTTTAATATGCAGAATAAAAAGGACCGGAGGGAGTACATATACTCTCTTGTTTTCTGAAGTTCCGCTCTCGGGCATGATGACACTTCTTGATTGACACATGATAAACTATGATACCACTTGCAAGTCAATAAGACTGTGTGTTCCGTGCGAGAGACAGAGACATGCTGCAACGCCAAGCAAGCCCAGCCCCGCAGGAAACCCGGCCGGCTGGGGACACCGAGTCCCCATGCTGCCATGCACTCCGTCGGTCTCTCATGGTGGATCGGACCAATGGTCTTTCTTTCCTCCCCACAAGACCACATGCTCTGCCACTAACCAACGACACAACCAAAAGGGCCCTCCTCCCATCCCATGCATGCACAAAGCAATCCATCAATCGGTCACGATTCACATGGATTGATTCATCTTTCCATCTTAGTACTTACTTACAAGCAACAGTGGCGACAAGCGGACAATCAATCAGTAATTAACGAGTGCGCTTAACTTGTAGTACAACTGCTAGTACTACTATCTGGTTACCCAGCAGCGCACTCCGAAGCCCCTGCTCTGCTGCTTGCCGGCCTTCTCGCCGCAGTCGCAGAGCAGGTGGCTCAGCATGTTCACCACGCTGGTGCCGATGGACGTCACGTTCAGCACCGGGCTCACCCGGACCCCGCCGCCGCCATGGCCGTCGCTGCCGTTCCTGCCGCCGCCGTATCCGTAGTAGTAAACCGACCTCGCACCGCCACCGCTGTTGCCGCTGTGAGCGCCACCGGATGCGGCCGTCGTCGTCGTCGGAGCGACTTTCTTGCAATGCGGCCGCTGGTGGGCGCCGACCGTGGCCGCCGCGGAGCCGGTCGACCGGCTCCGCATGAGCGGGAACGCCGGGCAGGTGAACCTCCCTGACGCCCCCGACGCGGCCGCCCCGGCGGAGTTGACGCTGCTGCTGCGCGCGAACGGGGACGCCCACGACCGCGGCGCCCTCTGCCACGCCGCGGCCTGGGGCGGCTTGGCGCGTGAGTGGGGAGTAGTCGGCGGCAGCGGCGGCACGGGGAGCAGCTTGCCGTCGGCGAAGAGGCGGTCGGCCGGCGCGACGTCGGCGGCTGCCGCGTTGGCGAAGTCGAACTCCGGCTCTGGCGCGCGCCGCCGCCTCCGCCGCGACATGAGGGACGCGTCCGACCGCCTTGGCTCAAGCAGAGTGGTGCCTGGACATGTCGTCGCTGCCGCGGCGAAGACCGCGAGGTCGTGCGAGAAGGAGATCCTGGGGCTGATCAGCTCCGCCGAAGCCTCCTCCTCCTCCATCTCGCTACTGGATCGGCAAGGGAAAGTAAGTTCTTGTCAATGTCAGAGATTCAGAATGCGATGTGAGAGCTGCTGCTACCTAGAAGAAGAGTGAGAGGAACGTGGATATAAATAGGTGGTGTGGTGAGTGTGGTGCGGAGGGTGCTGCTCGGGTCCCGGCGGCCAGGACGGCAGGGCCCGTGCACCGTGCTGTACAAACCTCGCATCCGATCGAATTCTGATTGCAAGTGAGAGGTGAGGTTGATTCGATCTCACTCGCGCCACCGCAGGGATCCTGGTCCCTTGGTCGGTCGGGTCACCTACCTACCTACGTCAATGAACGGCATAGGAGGAGTAGCTCCCTTTTTCCGTTCATTGAACGTGAATTTTTGGCAATCCAACATGGCCAAGCATCAACCTACAAACAATCGATCCTAGTTTACTTCTCGCCTTGCTGTAAACCTTTTTTCTGAATCTCGTTGGAAGATTTCATCACACTGATTGATTTTAATTAGCCACTTAGGTCACATCGTTTTCCGAATTAGTTGGGCACGGATACAAATCGCGATGCCAGATTGCCACAGCACTGTACGTGCCGCATGGCTCGACATGGATGGACACGAAAGGAACCCGAGCTCAGCAAGCAAGCAGGCTCAGCAGCTCACACTTGCCCCGGAATGGAACAGAATATCATGGCGAGGGGCCTATCTAGTCCCTGTCTCCATGAATGAAATGGAGCAGTAGGATCCAGCACAAACATGGCGGAATGGGCTTCCGTTTTCGTGCGCATTTCGATCGATCGATGGATCAAAAACCTCCAAACGCGAACAGAAGAGGAAGGTTTGCTCCTCCCCTTTCCTGCATCGCGGAACAGGGAAATCCTACAGCGAGTAGGATCCTGGTGTCTGCTCTCTGCCCTGCCTCTACACTCTAGTAGCCGCTAGAGGAGAGAAAAAAGCGGGGGGCGGGGACGCTGAAACCTTGTCCCTTGTGCCCGGAGTGGTGAAACATCCAATCGACCAAGGCGAAATGGCAAGGTGAATTATTTCTTCCGGGATGAAGCGTGTCGTGCAGTGCACCGTGGATGCGCTTGGCACTTGCACCCCTTTTGGACAGTGGGCACTACTCCTCAATCATTCGACACACGCACACTCCTCGCTCGCTCGCTCGCTTTGGCGCAACGCTGGCTGGGCTGGACCAGGATGCATATGGATCGGGAGGGATCATTGTGCATCCAAAAGAAGCATAATGTTCTATCTACACGTAGTACTAGTAGTACGAGCTTTGCCAACTTTTCGAACCAGCAAGTTATCGCGCTGATTAGTACTAAACAGGTTACACTTGCACCGACCCAACGTGCTGGTGAAGACGAGCTGGGATAGGATAGGGGCATAGGTGTGGTGTGGTGGTGGTCAAAGGCTATGGGGCCTCTCGAACAGAGCCGCCCACATATTATAGGGCAGCATGCATGCGTGGATACAACTATGCATGACGTTTGGACGTGCGGCGCACAGTCATTACAGGTTTCTGATTCTAGGGGAGCAACTGTTCCTCCTCGGCGCGCACTGTGCTCGTGTCTTTGACCTGCATCCACCGACCGATCTCTTCCTTCTCTTCTACGGCGGACGGCGCTGCTCTGCTGTGCTGTGGTGTGCATGGGGGTTAGTCTCTGACGACAGTGTCTGGTCGGCTGCTCTCGGGGTCCCAGCCACTCCTGGATCTATGGTGGTGGTGGATCTTGGCATCTTGTAGCCACCCTCCGCTGTTTCACTCGGGAAGGATGAAAATGGATGCGGAGCCACGTTTACGTGACCTTTTATCTCTCTCTCTCTCTCTCTCTCTCTGCAACTTTTTCTCGGGTGAAGTATGTTTTGAACCTTGAATTCATATGGTTCGTCGGAATTAAACCTTAACCTCCCAATCCATGAGCACCCTGTACTATTTGATCCGGACGAATCCCAACCCTAGACCCGTACAGACTAGTTTGGCAGGTTGGGAAAATGATAATCCCGGCCGGGATAATCTCTTACTGTCACTGACTATATAGCCCCACATGTCATATCTACATTTTTCTATTTCTCTTTGTGGTCGTTTAGCACGGGCGCCGGCGATCGTTGGGTCGGCTGCATCGACGGCGTCGTCGGTCGCCTACTCCTCCACGCTCAGCGGTGGTACATGTCCTTTTGTCTTTGTTGAATTTGCGACTCACGAGTGCATGTACATCTGCCTCCCAGTATCATGTGGCCTGCACGCCTCAGTACAGCTTCCCGTTCGGTGAGCATGGACAAGGACACAGACACGAATGAGCACGCGTCCTGAAGCGACCGTGGTGCATGAAGAATGGGAGGGGCGGCGCGGGCATTCCAAGACCGACGCGGTTGCCGCGGCGGCGAGCTCCCAAACGTTGGCCTGGATGAGGAGACGGTGCCCATCGAGCAAGGAGTGCCTCGCGCTGTAGCCGGCCAGCAGGCAATGCTCGAGCTTGCGGAATACGTCGACGTGGCGCCCAAGTGCGTCGAGGTGCTTGCGGATGGTCTCTTTGCAGATGGCGCAAAGGTATGTGAGGCGCGACAGTTTACCACGTCGTTCATCTCTTCTTAGTCTCGTCGGAGTATCGGTGTTTCTAGGTTTGCCAGCATCTTCGCCAGCGCCGTGAACACGTACTGCATTTGCATTGCACTTAGACGGTACATGTGTGATGCATGCATGCAGCATGCTTGTATCGTTATTTACAGGGTGAGCGCATCGATTATGTGCGTATGGAGAGTAGCGCCTTGATGTTGAGGTCTGTGACGCCGTCCTTCCCAGCGCCGGCATGGCCATGCCACGGCAGGCGATCAGCCGGTCTATGAGTTCCGGCAATCGACGGCTCCCCGCCTGAGCCTTGTGATGGGACATCAGCCGCTCCAGACCCTGCCCCGCCTTGTCGTCTCAGCTGACGCATCCTCCAGCCGAACCCTTGCAGACCCATGTACGTGCACGGCGTCGGCGGCACTAAGTCATGGACGTTCATGGGGCCCGCCATTGTCATCAGCTCCACACCTGTCTCGAAATCCCTGGGCTCCTTGCTCCCGGCCTCGTCGAGCACCCTCGCAGACCAGGCGACACAGACAGTTGCAACATCTCCTCTCACAGTGTGCTGATTTCCAGCGAGATGAGAGGGTTGGGAATGGAAGATGGATTTGACAAGTGAGCCAATGTAGTCAGTGAGAGTAGCCGTTGATCCCGGCCGGGATAACCATTTTCCTGGTCTGCCAAACAGACGTAGGGTCGAGATTGAGCGGGATCGGAGAGCACAGGGTGTCGATTTCGGGGATTGAAATGTCAGGGTTTGATTTGGACCAGCCGTATAAATTCAAGGTTCAAAATAGACTTCACTCACTTTTTCTGGGATGAAACTTTTTCATCCATCATTCAGTTTCACAGGAACCACTAGGATCTTAATCCAACGGTTCGGAAACAGATTGCACCATTCATCTTCAACCTCCCTCCCTTCTTCCTCCCGCAGCCCCCAGCCTACCCCGCCCTAACCGACGGCCTCCACCACCCACCGCCTCGCCCTCCCCTCAACCTCCCCCGACCGCCGTTGCTGCCGCCACCCCGACTATCCCTCTATGCCCCACCACACTAGGGGAGACTTCCGGTGATCTTTTGCACCACCCCTTGGATAGATAATGGGGCAATGAATTCACCCTAAGATAGTGTCACGACCCCAACACAACGATGGGATGAACAATCAGATCCGTACCAATTTTGGGATACAAGAGGAGGGATTTCAGATGAGAAACAACAACAAGGAGTGAGATACAGGTAGAATATAGGTGAGGAATAGGAGCGGGAGGACAGAAGGGTTCAAAACGTATCAATTTATCGATGCCCTCCTCTGTGTTGCCCATCCTTCCTTACATGCACCATTGCAGATTCTCATAGCTAGGCCAAACCCCAAACCCGATAGCCCATTGCAGAGAGAAGGCCCAATCAGTGTAGTTGGGCATGACCTTTGGGCATGACAGATAGATAGTGGGGGCTATTTGCTGCTCCACGCAAGATACGTCTTCAACTAGGGTTTCTTGTGCCACCGATGTCGCCATCTAAGAAATTTAGGTCCATCCTTCCTCACAGGCACCATTGCAGATTCTCATAGCTAGGCCAAACCCCAAACCCGATAGCCCATTCCAGAGAGAAGGCCCAATCAGTGTAGTTGGGCATGACCTTGGGGCATGACAGATAGATAGTGGGGGCTATTTGCTGCTCCACGCAAGATACATCTTCAACTAGGGTTTCTTGTCGCGTCCCTCGCGTCGCCCCCGCCCTGGGCGACTCGGGGGCTCTCCAACCCTAGGGCCGCCGCCGTCCTCTCCTTCTCCCCTCCTTGCGCCGCCGCCGGGTGACGCCGCCGGGTGAAACCCGCGTGGAAGACGGCGGCGGCAGGGGGACTCCCTCTCCCGACTCCCCTTCCTCTGCGGGCGGCGGATCTAGGCGGCAGGCGGCGGTGTCCTGCGGCGCTCGCGGTTTGGCGCGAGGAGGCAGGCCTCGGCGAGCGGTGGCGGGGCGCGGGGCACGCGGCGGCGAGCCTCGGCAGGCGGTGGCAGCTGCGCGCGGGGCTGATTACGGGGCGGCGGCGCGGGCATGGATCCATCGCGGATCTGATCCTGCGGGCGCGGTCTCGGCTTCCCCTGCTCGGCCGGCGGGTCTCGATGGGGGGCTTCCCCTTGCTGAGATCTAGCTGCGGGATCATCCAGATCCCGGCAAGGATGGCGGCGACCCGTGCACGAGGGATGGAGGTCTTCGATCAGATCCGGGTGAAAACCTGCTATTGGCTATTGCCAAGGCCGGCGATGGCGACGCTGTCTGCGTCGTTCCCTTCCTGAAGGCATCGTCGTGGAGAAGTTCAAGGCCACTCTCTGCTACCTTCGGGGGAAACCCTAGATCAGTAGATCGGATGACGGCGGCTCTCTGGTGTCGTTTCCCCCCTGGGGGCGTCATTCTTGGAGGTGCACACGGGCTCGAGGGACTAGAGG